TTATTATTAAGTGGAAATATACAAGGGTGAATTGACCATAAGGCCGATCCAATCCGCACAAAAACAGGCTGGAAAACCAACATATCAGCAACAACCAGAAATATGAGCACAAGCTGACTTTTATGTATTTAATGCCTGAGTGCATTCATGTTTTATATCAGCCTATTAAACTATGCTCTAGGAGAAACATCATAAAAATGCCACTTTTTCAATAAAACACTAAGCAAATCCCAGGATGAAATCTAAAATACAAAAATAGAATTTTTTATTTTTAAAAAAAGCAAGTTTATATTTTTTTGAAAATCCACTTGATGTTAAAATCAAATACACTTTTCCTGCAGCATTTAATCAGCTGAAACTTTTCTCACATGTAAAACAAAACCTCAAGTCACTTTTGACCACATTTTGAAATAAGAATTGTTTAAAGTCACTACTTTAGAAAACAGATTTTTGCAAATTACTCACACAATGTATCATACGGTCATACAGAAAAAAAGAGTTGAGTTGAGTTTCAGTATCGATACCAAAAGGAAAAAAAAGAAAAAAGATTTTACATATTTGTCAATGAAACCTTTATTTTTTCATTAAGAAGAAGAAGAAGGCAGGTTTACTGAACATCAGCTGTGGAAGAACTTCAACAAAATAGTGAACGTTTTTATTTAAAAAGCAGACATTTGATGCCAGTTTTTGGTACTTGACAGTTTTCAACTCTGTGCTGTGGACACATTTCAACTGAGCTCATATCATAACAATATGGCCAAAAGTCAGTCAATAAATGATGGATTGTTGTCCAGTCATACAACTGCTAATACTCAAATACACATGAATTTATTGTTTTTGTTCAGCTGAATTACAGCTCTGACTGTGTGTCACAGGGAGTTCTTATTTAATAGTAGGCCAAGTTTAAACCACTAAAAAGACAATCATTTTTTACTATCACTGGACCTACAGTGTTTTTCTAGAGATTTATATCTGTCTATCATTGCCATCAAAGGTATCAGCCTTCCGACATTCATGTTGGCACTCTGTAGAAACCTGTCTGTGTCCCTCTGCAGGACCTGGTGAAGGAGATGGTGGACGCAGACATCGAGCTAATGAAGAAAAATCCAAATGCCTGAGGCCAAATCAGTCAGTCCATGCAGGGCACCAATATTTTAGCACTCCAGTGTTCTGCCACTGAGACTTGCAATGGAAGGACCATGTTTTATTTTGACCTTTATGACTTTTCCAAATGAAGTAATTGTGTCTTCTTTGTTAAGGATGTTAGTGTAAACCATTCGCTGCCTTTGTGTCTAGTGTCTATTTCTGGTATTATGATATCATGTTGTTTTGATTTTGTTTTATTATGTAGCATATATGGTTTTTACATTTCAACACGGATCATGTCAGAATTTAAATAGAGGGCAAGTTTTAGGGGTTTATTTATATGTGTATTTGTTTTCATCGATTTAGGTGTCAAAGTTGAAATGGATTCATTCAGAGGATGACATGGAGGAATATATAAATAAATACAATGAATGGCGATTTTATCTTTTATTAAAATGAACAGATGAACCATTTGGTACAATAAAGACTGACCTTTTAACGTGTTGTCTTTATGTATTTGCTTTCTGTTGCTACACCAAACATGATAAAGAAGGCCTCAGGTCGCTAATAGAACTGGTGGTTTTCTGTTAATTTATCCTTGTAGGATAAGGAATGGAGATATGAGAAAGCAGCAAATCCTTATCCGGGTTTAAAATGCAGGCATGTGCGTTAGGTAGGTAATATGTGTGCGTTTGTGTGTGTGTGTGAAAGAGAGACAGAGATAAAGAGAGAGAGCGTGTGTACGCGCGTCAAGGGTGCCCAGGTTGCGCAGAGGTCGGCTGGCTCCTCTCTGCTCGCTCCGGCTTTCCAGGGGTTTTCTTATTTGTGAGCACACTACGCTCTTGTATTCGTCAGGAAATGGACCAGGAGTCCCACAGTCCCGCTCTCAAACGTGTCTCCACATTTCTGGGGCGCCGTGTGCGCGCAGACCTGGATGCGGAGCGGCTCTGGTCCTGATGGAGGCTGCTGGTAACTCTTCCTACCTAAGAAACGATATTTACATAAGCAAAGTGCTCTCCCTTCTTTTGTGTATATTATTAATTCAAGAATAAAGTGTGCACACTGCTGTAAGGATTTGTTCTTTAAACTGTTTTCATGGCAACTTGGAAATTCTTGGTCTTTTAGTAGTTTTATGTCTCTGACAAGTTCTACTTGTATACATTGAATTATTAAATGTGCAATGGACCTACAGATGCTTTAGATTATTTTATTTATTATGTTTAGTAACGCAGCCTATAGATAGTGAATGCATTTGTCTGTACCAGTATTTTGAGAAATTAAGTAGTGATGGAGAAATAATTTAGCTCCTTTACTAAATGCCACGGTGTCAAAATATTAAAAAAAAAAAAAAAAAAAAAAGACAAAAAAAACCTTACTCTGCATGCCGGAGAATGTCTGTCAGAGGTTGTTATATATTATAGTGGTAGATGTCACTACATCTACCACTATAATATATATACACACATTACAGATATCACTGCTGCATTTGAGAAGTATTCAATTCAAGTATTCAATGTGGGTCCAGGTGGATCTGATTTAATTACATTATCTAAATCAATGGGTTATATTAAGCAGCTTCTGTCTTATTTTATTTTATTTTTTGAAAGTCTTTACTTCAAATAAATTGTAGCGTTTAAAAATGCCACATTTCCACATAAATGTGAAAAATGAATTGTGCTTGTTGAGTAAACGTGGGCTGCTCCACCACCGGTCTTATTCAGGTGCTGGTGCTTTGACATTGAGCTCGCCTGCTGCTGTGAGCAGGGTGGGATCGCCTCGGTGTGTTTTTGGGACAACACCTAGAGGACATGCAGCAGCAGCAGCAGCAGCAGCCTGTCTGTGATCGTCCTGGACAGCGCCGCGTCTGTGCCGACTCCAAATTGGAACCAGATGCGCCTCTGAGGCTGTTTGGGCCCCTGAAACCGCGCCGAGAGCAGAAACACGCCGAGCCGAGGCCTCACACAGGTGCACCGCGTCTCCCTCAGCAACAATTAGCCGAGCCCTGTGATCAGCTCTGCCGCTGGCGCACAAAGAAAGGAAAGCTGCTCGAGATCTGGACCGCGAATATGAAGAATTAAAAACTTTCATGCAGCTAAATAAACGATTTAAGGAGATTAAACGGCTCTAACGGTCAATTTAGACTCGCGGAGTGGCTGCAGATGTAAGAAGTCCATGTAAAATAAGTACATTAGATTGATTTTCTGACAGATGTAATGGACAATGAATACTTTAGGGGAAAATAATCCCTCATATTAAAGCGGCAGGAGGGAGAAGAAAAGCTGCGCCTTTCTTTGAAAGCAGAGAAAACATGTGGGAATCTTTTTTCACTTCATGCAGCTTCACTAAGTTTTAGAGCACATTTCAACAAAATATAACGTTTAAAATGATGCTGTGGAAAAGAGATTCAAGGGAAATTCTATGACCAGTATCCACATCCTCCTGCTATCGTTTATAATGAATTAAGAATGAGCCTTTGCCTTAGAAACACACCAGTGATGGGCCTCGCTCACTGAATATCACGCTCAGTTCAATATGAGTTTGCTCTCCTCCAGGGCTGCTGGAGGGTAAGTGGGGGAAAGTAATTAAATTTGGGGCGTCAAAGAAATAAAACTGAGTCCATCCTATTATTGTACAACAAAATAATATAACAGTGATGACACTGTGGCAGCGTTTCAGACAAACAGACACCAAAACCTATTGAGCACAATGTTAAACAAGCTACTAAAAAGCACTTCTTTTTTTTAATGAGTCGGAAAGTAAAGAATAAATCTGGCTGTGAATTTTTAAAACAAGATGAAAATCTAGGTTGGAATGTTTGAAATTAAAAAAAGTAAAGCTTTCTTAAAAACTGAACCCAGAAAGCAGCAGTATAGATGACAGAAAACTCGCACCTCAGTCGAACTCAGCAGCACACTGAAGCCTTTATTTCACCCCACTTGCGCTCAGTGATGAATATCTCTCCTCTGAGGCCTTTAATTGGTTTGATATGTAAACTAGATCAAGGATTTTAGCCCAGCAGGACTTCACGGACACTTTCAGGACATAAATACTCCAAAAACCAACATGAGGCAGAAAACTCAAAGAGTCAGATCTCTGTTGAATCCTGCAGGATTAAAGACAGAGAGACGCGACTTCAATCATCGCTTGTGCACCAAAGGATTCAGCTCTGCACACACACCTCACCCAGGAAGGGGACACAGTGGGTGAGGAGGGGACACACTCAGAGCTAGCTTCATAATTTAACGTTTAGAACCGCCAATACTCCGTTGATGTTCTCAGATTGCCGGATTTTAAAATATAGTTTTTGTTTGTTTGTTTAAAATACTTGTTGGGTTTAACAGGAAAAAATACATAGAATTAAGGAGGGTTTTTTTTTCTCCTAATTTGGACTTTAAACGTGCAGCAGGTATCAGTGATCACCATCAGAATTTATATTCTTTAGGTTTTGACGGCAAAAAAAAGCAAAAAAAATAACATAGCAGATTAAACGGCGCCTTATAGTCGTGCTGATGATTCAATTACAATAAAATGCGCTCATGTGAGTGGTGCTTCGGGGTTTCATTTAGGTAGAAACGTGACAATTCAAGGAGTCGCACTGTGTCTTGTATAAGAAAGTAGTTCCTCCTCACTCATAAAAATGGCTTCTGCGTGAATATCCGATTCACCCACCTTCAGCAGCTTTTCACCTTAACACGGTTCCTCTAAATTCAAGCGTTGGGGCCTGTTATAAAGTCACATGTATGACTCTTCGTTTTTTTTGACTCTTATCAGATAGATTGCCACGGTGAATTCTCCATGTGGAACATCCACAGACAAAACGACACCTACGCACGTGTGATCCCTCGAGGCTAGAGATCCTGAACTGTACATTACAGCACCTAGAACACAACAGTTCCTTCATTAAACCCTTTGAATGCACTTGAGCGCGCGTGTAAAGCAGATTCTAGTATGAAGACCTCTTCTCTCCTCCTCTAGGAGTCTTTTTTTGTATTATTATTATTTCTGCACTGCAGCCACAACAGCAACACATGGCTCCCCGGCTGCACTGTGCAGCCGCAGCGAAGGTGCTTCAGATAAGGCAGTGACAGGCTTTAACGCAGGCTTTTCACCGTCCTTTCCTAAAGCGCATTGTTGACATCCTCTCCACTGACCTCTCTCACCTCCTCCTGTCTTGTCCTTATGATGAAAAATGACTGCATTTTCCTTCCTGACCTGAGTTCCTCACTGACGCCTGTTGAGAAGCAATAATGTAGTTTTCTGTCCATATTGCGCAGCTTTCTGCTCACAGCATGTTCTTATTTCTGTACTTTTAATTGCAGTTGCAGTGTGGCTGAACTCCTCCTGCCGAAGGTGTAGCGGTGGAGCCAGCAGCGTGTTGTTTACGTTAGATGTAATGAGGCCGGCTCGTCTGACTGGAGGCTCTGGGGAGCGTTTGCGCGCTGGAATTTGTAGTTTTACTGACTCATTAAAATCTCATCCGCACAGGCCTAAAATTGACAGTCACGTTTACGCTTTCACTGCTGTCTATTATCAGCCGCAGAGACACACACCTGCACTCACACACACACACACACACACACACACACACACACACACACACACACTGCTGCTGCAGAGGTGCTGCGGTGTTTCATTAAAGCTGCTGATGAGTGCAGAGGTTTGAAGGCTGAGGCGCCATCAGATAACAAAACTAAACCGGAAAAATCTGATTCCTCTGTAAATATACAAAGTGTGAAACATA